AACGCGGTATATTCCGACACATTGAGGATGCATCGAGAAATGAAGAACTATAAAAAAATAATCGTATGCGTTACTTGAGTTCTGTTAGCTTTATGTGACTCGCAAAACACCGTACTACGCGCCAGCAACAATGAAATGTCACAAAATGTTGCCATATTTATTTAAAAGCCTTTAGAATGCAAACCTACCAAATCCCTATATTCCAACACTGTGTGTGCCAATATTCGGCACGGGGTGAGGCGTATTCCGTCCGCGCTTCAAATTCTACTGATACGTAATGCCGTCATCCACGTGTTCGAATTCCGTTTGCTGTGTGAGCTGTATTGGAATACAACATGGCTTTGAATTAGAACACTAAAGAATATTGAACACTACTTAATTACGCTTTTAATTAACAACTATTAAGCTTTTAATTAAGCAAATTTTAATTTTTATACATAGCTGGAACGATCTGTGTGTGTCTAATTCAAGTTGTGACTGAATTAGTTTTCATGTGTCAAAATCCATTTCTCAACTTAATCATCTATTAATTTATTTACCACTTGAAATCAGCAAATACAAGTATACTTAAAGGATTCCTAATATATTCACAGACTTATTTAAAAGTCTCTAACTATAATATTCTTCCTATACAAACAGTTTTCACTATTTGGTAGAGCAAGGTCAACAGTCAAATTTGACACATTTTTTGAGGATCTCACTGGGTAGCATGCATTGTCTCTCTTTGGATCTCAATATTTTCCCGCTAGATGGCCAAGACCTAGTGTTTTGGCATTACTTCGACGCGCTAATGTATAATGTTGTTATCGTGTGAGTCTCAGCGCACCGCGAGTTGCAATTTATCCCCTCTTAGAACAGAAAGGGCCACGACAACGAGAATGAATAAGTATTTGTTAAGTAGTAAAACACAAGTTAATTAAAATAGAGACAAAACATATATATATACAAGGGTGAACATTCACTAACCAGCATGGCTAAGCACGAGTGGTCAGGACTGTCAGACCGCTCTGTTACACAGCTGAGTGTCATTCATTGGGCTCAGCTTAAAGTTAATGAATATCTGTAACAGAGACTGAAACAGAAGAGGACAAAGACATTGAGGTGAGGTAAAGGCAAGGCCGGAGGCAAATAACAAGGATAAATAAGCACAGATAGGCTGTGCTACACGAGCCACAAAAGCCTCCCGGCAACAACGTCACCATTTAAACCATCAACGAACGCATGGAACTAAAACAAAGCTTAATATAAAGGAAAAACTAGAGAGGTGATGGAATTACCCACGATGTCCGAATATACCGCGTTTACCCTATGAAATTTTACAACTCTTATGTCATGTATTTTTGTTTGATTAAAAAAATTGCCGTTTGCACTTTGCAAACATATCATTTCAACATCCAAAGTGTTTCTTTGAAGATTGCATCATTTCAACATCCAAAATGTTTCCTTGCGGTCATGTCAGAGTGGTCAGATTGCATATCATGTGTTCCGTAGCCACTTGAGTCAAGAGACAAATGTTAGTGTGTCTCAGTGTCTGTTTGAAGACTGTTTTTAGGGTAAAATTAAAGATTTGGGGTAACATGTGCATGGGACTTTGAAAATAAGTTTATGGCTCTTAAGTGGCTTTTTGTGGCCAAAATATGGAATTCATGGCTCAAAGAAATGGAATCACGGCTAGCAAACCCATAAAACCATGGCTTGAAAAATCCAGTTGGTGCTTGCCATGTAGATATATTCCATGTCTGTACATGGGGAGCTGAGGAAGAAGGCCTCCTGCGGCCTGCCTGCACAGCAGCTTTTGATCAGGGTCTGTACTTACTGAAAGTCTCTGCCAAAACTTATGCTTTAATGCCTCTCGTCTCAGCTCAAAAAAGCTGATGGCTTTGAACTATCTAGGGACTTGTATCTTGTGAGGAGTGAGGACTCATCTCTGGCTCAGTTTCCTCAAACTGGACAAGTAGTATCTAAAATGGGTGGCCAAGCTAAGGGTCAAGGCAAGGCAAAAAGTTCAAGAAAACAACCCCAATTAGTTATTCAATAAAATTGCTGGATCTGCACTAACATCCCAAGAGAGAGCACTGACATCCCTCCACCCTAGGCCTGGTGCCAAATTTAGCAATTGCTTTCAATTTCAGACCTCAGCAAGAATTCAATTTTAAGCCCAAAATGTTGCCAGTATTATTGAGGATTTACTGCCAGAATGACCTATAACTTCAAGATTTTTTGTCAAAAATACATGCAAATGATATTTACAAGAAATGTGTCTGCAAGCTCTTCTGAAAATGTATATTTTAATGCTATTTGTTGCCAAAGTCAAAGATGTTATTGAATAATAAATATTATGCACCCTGCTATAATTACCACTTCTAAAGTTCTACTGTCTTTTTTCATTTATACCAACCTGTGCATCAATGTAGAAGCTTGGTAAATAAATATTGACATTATTGGTCCAGTATATGACAATGATAGTGAGTTTGAGGATGCATTGGATATTCTGATTAAATTATTGTAGCTCTTGCTGAGGATGTGAAAATCTTTGTCTGTGAAAATTTTGTGTTTGGGTGAAAAGTTGAGTAGGACTGAGTTAACCTGGAAGCATCACCAACTTTGTTTTTTGAACCTACAGAAAAGCCTAGACTTGCACAACATGCCTGAGCTGATTCACTCCTACTAGCCAAATGCTGGTGCACAATACTCAAATTCCTTGAGTTTGACTTCAAGGGCTCCTTGCTGCTTATATCTAAAAAGAAATACTATTGACTAAAACATTCCCTGTGCACAAGCACCTTAATCTCAATTGGCAATGGCCACATCTTTACTCATCTAACTTCTATCATGGACTATTATAGTCAAATGGGGTAAGACAGGATCGCAGCCTTCATGGGGTAAGAAAGGACCAGCTCATGACATGCATTCTAATTGCACTGAATTCAATTTGACAAAAGAATATGTTAGAACAATCATTGCCTGTCATTTCAGTGTTTGTGGCAACCCTCTTATGCAAATAATGAATTTCTGGCTAATTATTAAAGAAAACCTATGTGAAGAAGGGTCACAAAATAGTTAACCCTGTTTGTGAAATAAGCTCTGTCTAATGACAAAAAATTTTTTGGCCAGGTTTGTGGATACCGTCAAACGGGGTAAAAAGAGACGGGCGGGGTAAATGGGGATGTGCATCCCACATTTCGTAGAAATGTTGTAGCAGCTAAACTAATCAAAATATTGCAAAACTAAAAATAGTGGCGTAAACTTCAACATTTTTACTTTCTATTATGTATAAAGTTAGTCAAGAAATCAAACATTTACTATCTCTAAAAAAATTGCTGAAAAAAAGTATGAAAAGTCAAAAGTGCAATTTTGTAAAAGTACCTCTGCTAAGGTCTGGAGCAAAAAAATATACGCCGTATTAAAAAATTTTACTTACATAAAAGTTGCACCCAGGTGTCGGCTTGAAAATGTAATTGACAGAATTGTCCTATCTCATTCCAAAAAAAAAAAATGAAGATACAGAAGAAATGCTACATGGCTGCTGATATGAAGCTTGCAGTGGACAAGGTTGTTGTCAATGCTCAATGGCATGTCCATGGATACAGTAATATCACATTAATACGGTAATTAATGAATATGGTAATATAATATCAATAAAGGAAAAACAAGTAAAAATCACAGAAAATGTCATTTATTTTACATCTACATCATTTACAATTATAGAGCAGGACTTCAAAGTTAGTAATGGATGAGTACACTCTGCATGCTTCAAACGTTTTAAAATTAACTTTTATTGCAGGTGTCCTGGATTACCCCATTCCCAGGGGTAAATTGGGACGGTTTTATTTTGGGTCTGGCACCTTACGAATAGCATATGGTATTTTTTTGAAGATGCCATTGGATAGCCCTTGCAAAGAGCTATAAAATGAGCCTAAACTTGTTCCTGAAATGTTTCATAGTAAGAAGTTATTAACAAAAAATGCTCAAAACCATCCATTTTTACCCCGTTTGACGGTACTAGTTATTCCTACCTGCTACCATCACTGCCTGGTATGTATTCTAAAATGGGGTAAAAAAGGACCAGACATGGGGTAAGACGGGACCACTAAATGATCCTGTTATACCCCACAAGTGGTCCTATCTTACCCCTCAAATGGTCCTGTCTTACCCCACAAATGGTCCTCTATTACCCCACAAATGGTCCTCTATTACCCTACAGTTTATCAAAAATAGTTTTCAAATGAATATATTATTGTGTAGTACATGGAGTTTTTTGGTCAAAATTTTTATCTTTTGCTCATACTTCATTATAACTTGTTAGCTTTTTTAATTTGAGAAATTTAGTGCACTATTTTAAATAGGGATGTCTATTCCCATTAGTGAGCTGCAGAACTAGTATGTGCAAGATTGGCTGGGGGAAAATCAATGTGTGAAACATGAAAAATAATTATGATCACAACTCCGTGAGAGGGCATGAGCTATGTTTGAAGAAGTGCACCACAAATGCAGTTAGCAAGAAAACACATGACGTCTGACACGTAAGTTATTATCCATTGGTTTTATTACCAATTTGATAAATTTGTCAGACAATGACACTAATACATACAGAAGCATTTAATACATGAAGCATTTAGCAATGCTCTACAATGAACCAAAGCCAACCCACTATTACTAGTATGCTTAACAAAGTTTTCTCATGACAAAAACTTCAATGTGACTGATATTAGAGTTGACTTCCCACAACACAAAACAGTAACAAGTGATTGTTTTATCAAATAATGTGTTTCTAGATGGATAATATTGGATATCAGATTTGTACTTTTATTAAAAACCTTGTAACATAAGAATTATTGGTCCTGTCTTACCCATCTGACTATATTTTTAAAAAGGTCATTTTCCAGAGCAAACAGAACTTTGAAATAATGTTTCTAAGTTATTCAAATAGATTTGCATAGGTAGTATGTATAATTTTTTGAGTTGCAATTAATTGTCATTTGCAGGAATTTATTTTTTCTTTACTCCATATTTATATATATTTTATTTATCTATACAAATAACATTTACTTTTTTGTTTGATCACATGAACTCAAATATAATGAATTTTGTCAAGAGGATACCTGTTGTTGGTCTAACATCACAATTATGCTGTATGTCTGTAAGGGTGAGTCATATTTATTGTACATTTAACTTTATATTTTAGCAAAACAAAAATTACATTAATGATGGTGCTGTCTGAAATTAGCAAAAATGGCTTCAGATATCCTTTAGCTGTACACAATGCTAACTTTCTCCATAGCCAGACAGACCAATATAATACCCAATACAAATTTTTGCAGTCATGTCGGTATCCTGCTTGTAATTTCACGAAATAAGGAATTTATTCAATGCAAGGAATTTCTCAATTCTTTATGACTTTTTAATGAAAGATGGATTAATTTGACATCCAACTTAGTTCAAAATTTGTCACATTAATGATCAATGAGAAACAAATTATAGATCCTGAAGTAAAAATCATTGCTACTGAAATCTTTATGTTCTTCTTTCATGCCAGAACAGCTTCTGAAAAGGTTTTAATAATAGGATTTAAATTCATATGAAGATAAGATTGCAAACATGTTTTCAAACAATGCATCTTTCATACAAATTAGTCAATTGTATAGCTGATGGCCTGCAGTTAATAGAATCTGTTGCAGAAGCGGGTGTTGAGTACGGGCCCATTGAGAACTGCAGAAGCTGATCTCAGCTCCGAAGTGGAGCTGATGAAGAAAGACGGCAGCCATCGACTCTTGGATTTTGACCATGAAAGCCTTGCAGCTCGAGGGTAACTTTTCTGTACTTGAAGTAACTGGCCAATTGATTGTTCTAAAATAATAATGAAATATAGACTTATGATAATACCAAGATGATAAACTGTACGTTTTTTATTAAATTTTGATGCAAGGAAAATGTCTTTTAGGTGTTCAAACTTAATGCTAGCTCCCTTTCACAGTGAAAATTACTTTTAAAAGTTTAATCCTGCTCATCCTTTACACTTCTTAACTTTATTTGTATAAATTGCAAGCTTTGATGGGGATTACTGTGATATTCAAAGGAGTTGTATGTTACCAGATACCTCCGCAATCAGCGCAGCTATACACCACCCCCAGATGTAGCCATTCGTGTGCAGCGCCTGTGTGAGGAGATCTGTGGTTCCACCTCAGCTGAATTCAGCTCTCCTGACCTCAAATTCTCTGTTCTCAAGCGCTGTAGTAAAGAATTCAATCACACAGTACCTAACTCCTACCTCCACTCAATCACCAATATTGGTGAGCATTTTGTGTGTTACAATAATCTACAGCCCTCATGATGTCGATATCCAGTATCCAATGGGCAAGTTGTAGAAGTCATGAATGGAAAGGTCATGATTGAATATTTCAATACATTAAAATAGAAGTGAAATTTTTCTATTAAAATTGAATGCTGGTGCAGGAAAATTATGCTCCAATGTTTGCTCATAAGGATGATGTCAGCCTCAGGCAAAAACAATAACAATAATGAACAAATGGGACCGTGTAATCATGATTTCAAATATCCCGTTCTTGAATGTTTTACCCATTATGAAATAGATGACATCAATAATGTTATAGGAAACTCAACATTTGCTTGTGGCAAATGAGGAGTGGTACCAATGTATGAAGTGTTGCATCATAACCAATTTTTTACTTTAAAGAGAATGAAAGTGTAGTCTCTTCAAATGTAATTTAATTTGAAGATTTTTATTCTTGATGCTTCATTTAAAATTTTCATTGTTATATCAAATAAAATGAATCTTCTCAGACGCCCTTGTTGCGTTCTACTCTGCTCCTGTGGACGCCCGTGTTCCCTTGGACCGCATGCGGGACATCGACCTTCCTAAGAACCTGCACGTCATCTACAATTACACCAGGTTCCACCCTGGTGAGTGGAAATACTGTCACCAGCTAGGGCTGAGTTGTGAAATGGTTCCACCCTGGTGAGTGGTAATCCTGTGACCAGCTAGGGCTGAGTTGTAGAATGGTTCCACCCTGACGAGTGGTAGGGCTGTGACCAGCTGAGGTTTAGTTGTAAAAAGGTTTTATCTTGGTGGGTGGAACCAGTGGTAGGGCTGCGACTGTATTGAGTGGTAATATGGTCCCACCATGGTGAATGGTTAGTCTGTGACAATCAGCAGCTGAGCAGTAGGTATCTAGAGGCAGAGATATCAGGTTCTATCCTAGCATTCAATGCACATGGTAATTGGGGAATCGCGTACAGGACTTCATATCAACATGTTAGGTTGATATATTATGGTCGCTAGTTCACATTTAGACCTATACTATTTTTACAAGTAGAACATGCTTATTTTGTACGTAGAAGCAACGACTGCAACCATTGTTGAACCTTAACCAAGCGCTAAGTTATGCCCATGAAACTTCATGCAGTTATGATTTTCTTTACATATAGTCATTATAATACTAATTCAAAAATAAAATGGATCCAAAGAAAGGTCAAAGTTGGTCACTTGATAAGTTGAAAGATTCCATAAACTACTGTCTTAATGTTGTGATTACTATCTAAGATTTGTTTCCATAAACTGCTGTCTTAATGTTGTGATTACTATCTAAGATTTGTATCGTTTCATAAGGAGCCTAATTAGAGATGGGATACGAAAACTAGTGGCCTGCAGTAAATTCATAGTTACGAGTTTACATCACTCGATACTCTAGCACAGTGGTTCCCAAACTTTTCCAGACTGGCGCCCTCTTTGGCTCCCCAGTGAATCTCTAGCGGAGATTCACTATAATATATTCTAATATAAATTCCTAACTACCGAACATTGATTTTTAGCTAATGAAAATTTATTCGAGTCAGAGTCATGTTCTGCATGTGTTGTGTAGGTACAAATCGTCAAACAAACGTACGAACTTCTGACTTCGACTTCGCGGACTGTCGCCTTCTACTGCCCCTTTCTCCCTCACCGCCCCCCAGATCTTTTCTGGGCCCCCAGGGGAGCGATATTGCCCACTTTGGGAACCACTGCTCTAGCAGAAGAGTGGACAAGTGCATTAATTTTTTCCTTTACAATGTTGTCTGCTGTCAATGGCTTGCATATGATCTTATACCTTGTCACATGACGGGGCTCAGCTAACATACTGGTTCATGAAGATCAACCTCATCATCGCTCAACACGGCAGTGGTCACTCGTTCCTGTAAATGTGCGATGTGGCTAGTTTTATTTTTCCTTGATGCCAAATTAGTTTTACAAGTGATCATTAGTTACTGAAATCTTGAATTGCTTGCATAATTTCTTTTCTATTAAGAATATCCTCAGGAACACGCGCTCTGCACCTCCTCTATTTATTTTTATGCAGTAATTTTTTTTGCTCCTAGACACAACACCAAAATGCGTGGCACCTTGCACTTTTAAAGGTTTTGTAACCCTATAGATAATAATTATTAATTAGCATAAAGATGAATCCTACCATATTTGCCCAATTCTGTAAAGGACTTCAAACATTCAATTTCGTTTCAGAGACTGACACGTAGTCGTACCAAACCCTACTAATTTTGTATAGCACATTAAACAGTAAATTTTATCGCAGAGACCGACACGAAGTTTGGCGGCGTGACCGCGTTCCCCGGCAGCAGCACGCTGGTGACAGGCCTGAAGACCAGGAAGAAATACCAGGGCTTCAGAGACGAGCCCGAGTGGCTACGGTACAATCTGGAACAGGAGGTTGACCGCCACGGCAACCCTATCAGTAAACCAAGACCACAGCGCGTCCTTGTGGACCAGTGGTGATGGTTTGCGCTATTCCCCTACGAAGGTCGCTGCAAGAATATGTATTAGAACCGCCCACTACTAAATTAGTTGGGGGGCAATTGTCTTGCCCCGTTAAGTCAAATTATAGAATCGCCCACCACATAATAACGTAGTGGGCCTATCGTGACATACAACTTGTGTCGTGTCCAACACATGCAAGACCTAATCAGTTTTCTGCCAATCCTAAGATGTGAAGATATTTTCCAAGGAGCAGCGAGGTCATAATTAAACATCAATGTACAAAGTTTGTACTATGATTTATTTTTCCTTTTTGCTAGGGCTTAAATTATACATTTCGAAATTGTGGGGCAATTTTGCTTCAATAATTCTCATGGGCAACATTACTCATCACGTATGCGCCCCCTCAGCGGTAGAGCATCAGAAATGAAAATTATCTTATAATTCAACCACTCGTCTAGCGGGATAAGAGTTCAGCAAATGTGGGAGAGGAGGTCACTTGCGTTGAAAACAATTTTAATTGATTGATCACCTCAAATAATCGTTAGGCAATCTTTCAATCAGTGTTGAGCTTAGACACGTTTCCAGCAGTTGTTGGAGTGACCTCGAGACCAGAGAACGGACCTAGTGACCCTGACAAAAACTCAATTTATACGGCTTCGTTTGCCTTGATTTAGTGATGCTACTAGCATATTTGAGACGTAGTCGTCAACCGTCAATAGATGAAGTTGAGTTCATTTCATAGCTCATTTCGATGCTATATGTGAGACTACCTTCATTGAAGTAGTGGATTACATGAGGAGGCAGTGCTTGGTTGGAGAGGATTATTCGAGGCCCTCCTACATCATGCGGCGAACAGCGGTTATCGTCACACGGTACCGCAAGTGGTTAATAAGCTGCTCGTTTGTAGTTGGTTATAACGTTGATTGAAGATGACGTAGACAAAGCAAATTTTATGTGCCATTAGAATAGTAGTGGTGCCGCTCAGGGGCCTGCAGAGCTTAGAAGGTCTGGCACTTGAGTGAGTGAGAAGAATTGTGTACTCTACACGGTGCACTATGACATGAATTTTTTGAGGTGCACGTTCTATTTGTTTGCATTACGCAAAAACAGCGAGTTCATGTGATAAATTTGCTTGATAAAAATTACCTTCGTAAAGAAAATAAGTTTTGGGGTTCAATGCAGCCTTTAATGATAGCCGAGATCACCTCTGGCATGACGTCTTACACCAGCTGCTAGTGAGCACATATCCTTTAGGAACGTCAAATTGCAAAGAATGAGAGCAACACGTTCGCGCCGTAAAAACATCCGAATGAATTCTGGTAGTAAAACACTTTATCTCTTGTGAAGCCAAGGTGCTTCTTTGTGCTGCTGAGTGGAGAAATTCTTCCGCGATTTTTTGTTAGGTACAAGACCCTCAGAAAGCCCAGGTTTCCTCTTTCTGATGGCCTCCATTTCATCAGATGATAGCATGGGTTGAGCGTTGCCAGCACTGTTGTAGTGGGCTGAGCTGTCGGCATCACTGCGGTGCTGATCTGTAACCTTGATGGCCTCCACGCTCAAGTCAGAGTCGTGTGCATACTTGCAATTGTGGCCGAACTTGCATCGTCCTTTGCGATAATTGAAACATATTTTTCGACCGTTAATCTCAAGCACATCTTTGGGATTGTTGGTGAGTTTGACATGCTTCTCTAACATGGACTTCTTGGCCTCTTGCTCCTGGTGAAAGGGATTGTAGAAGACAGAGGATGTGTTGGTGCAGGTGAATGGGCTCGGTAACAGGTCACTTTTGTCTATTTCTCGGAGGCCTTTTGCAGGATTGACTAACTTCTCCTTTTTTGATTTCTTGCATTTTTTCACCTTTTTCTCTTCCCTGTCAATCCCCTCCTCTGATATGAGGAAATTTGTGCCAGGGATTTCCTTGCTATTCCTGTTGACAAAAACGAGTTATTAAATTTGCTGAAATTCATCAACATTCAGGATGTTATTTAGCAGTATCTATTCTCATTGAAGAAAATCCCCTCTCCTTTTGGAAGATCAAGATATTGTGAATACCACTCTCATGGATATGGAATTAAATGCAGTATTGAAACAGTTAAAAATATGCACAAGGTTTGCATTAGGTACATAGAGAGAGAAAAGTATTTTGATAATGTGTGTTTCAACAGTAGTAATTGAATGCATAAATGAGAAGAGCCTTAACAATAAATAATGAGATTTCACATTAGAAGGCTGTCTTGTGAAGCAACAGAAGCAATTTATATGTGAATAGTGAGGCAATCCATGCAAGAACACCATGGCACCATAAGCATATTGATACATTCCTTTCCAATGTTAAAATTATGTTATATTGCTCATGTTATGGTCACAATTCGAAGAATGATCCTAACTAAACTTTGTTTGGACTTGTAAATGTACTATAAATGCCAATTAAAACTTCAACAGGGATACAAGGGATACAAGTTTCTTAAGGCTCAGCAAAGTTTAACTTATCACTATTACTGGCAATAAAAAGGGTTAGATATTAAAAAGTAGTAGTAGTCACTTTCAGGAAGAAAAAAATTGACCTCACAATTTTTGCTGGAGTGTGACTTCCTCTTGGTCATCATCAGATGAGCTGTAGTCTGCTATGAGCCCCAACAATGCCATCTTTGTTCATTCAGATCCTGGAAGCACCATCATAGTTAGACACAATTTATTCAATGTTACGCAAATACACAACAAATCATTAATTATTGTTCTAAGGTTCACAAGATTTGCCTCAATAATCTTCCATCATTCAAAAGACACAGAGATAATATGTAAACCAGTACATGTAAGTTGTAAGATATTCTTTAATGTATGGAGCATATTTTGTTAGGCATATCTTCAATTGTTGAAACACACCTAAGCATAGTGGCAAACCAGAGCTTTTTTAGAATCAGTTCATTTTTAATTTCCTCATTTACTCAAGATTTAAACCAATTTCTTAAGTATGATAATGCTGGTATCCAGGATACTTTACTTGGCTACTTATAGGGCTCAAAAATGAACTTGTGGGAGAGTCTAAAAAACTCTCTGCTTTGCCACTATGCACCTAAGGACTAGTCAGAGTGTACCTACCAATATTTTACTACACACCAATTTCATGAATTATTATTTTTATTTTACACATGTCCTTCAGAAGCCTAGCAGGTAATATATTTCCTCAAAAAAGTTATAGATGGGGAATATTCCACAAGTGGCATAATAAACTAAAAGAGTGAAGATGGCCTCATAACTCCCCACATTGCCATATCTTGTTAAAACACTAATACTTCATTTTCAATTTCACCATAGTAAAGTAGTAGCGCAAAAAAAATATTTGTAAACATAATCAAGTTTATAAGACTTAAAAAGGTAAAGAAATAATTTAAATAAATGGATATTAATTTTGATGTTCATGTACAGCCACAAATCTTGCAATGTTCAAATTGGAAAAAAGACACCCATGAATTAATTTGGATTATCAGGCAGAAATTTCCTAAAATTGCAGACCAAATGATTGTTTTCATGGGTGATTTTTAAAAAGTGCAGTAAAAAATGTTTTGTTTTTCTTATTTTTTTTAAAAGAAATGGGGAAAAAGCCACATTAATGATTGAAATGGGCCAGATTCACAGGCATTTTTGTCCAATTCACTGGTGGCTTCTTCTCAATTTGCCACTTTGGCCCATGAATGAGACACTAAAGCCATTGTGTATATAGAGAATTTTTTCCATTTCTGTAATGCCAATGCCAATAATATTGCAACTTTGTGACACAATAAGGCTTGCAATTGAAAAGATTTTATAAATTATAAAAAATCCCATCTTTCTATCATAATGAAAATTATAATATTATAATCATGCACTAGTAATTATCAAACCCCACAACTTGCAGTTCTGACCAGCAAAAAATTTTTTTTTATGAGCATCAAGGTGAGTGTTGGGGCCACATCTGCCAAGTGACAAAGTTCTTATGTGTCATTAGATATTGCACATTTATGCCCATGATTTGTAAATCACCCATAAAATTATGGTTTTTGCTTGCATTTTTTTTGGAAACCTTAAGTTATTCCAGATTGGGTAGCTTTTGCTTAATTAGTCATAAAATCATGTATATTGACCAATTTTACCTGCAATTAACCCACAAAATAATAATTTTTGAAACCACATGTGAATCTATTATTTTAATTCCAAATTAGAGCTCAAGAAACATCCTAACACAAAACTGAAAGAAACTGGGCCCATGAAATGATTTTTTCATACCCATTTATTGAAAATTTATTAAGATAATAGACTATATCAGATATTCCTGATTAGGTTTAACATTAACAAACTAGTAACAGACTATAAGAGGCTAATAATGCAGAGTTGTGTAATTTTTTTACCAGAATCAAAATCCTAGGGTTAAAATATTGCCAGTATTATTGGTGATGTCACCAGAGACTAGGACTTCCTAAACCTTCAAGATTTCTAGCAAAAAAAACATAAAAGTATTTACATAAGTACCGTATGTAACAAGAAATGTGTAAGCAAGATTCTTTGAGTTTTAAGACATAGATTTCAATGCTAATGTGTGGTCAAGGATCTTCAAACATTCACCCATTTTCTGCAAGTATAAGTGTGCAACAACCTAACCTTGTGCTTGTAAGTTGTAACAACTAACAAGCAATTGAGTGGCTATTAACCCTTTAATGACCACTTTTTTTAAATAATGTAAACAAATTTTTTCTTATAATTTCTAGTGATTACGGTCACTAAGTATTGTATGGATAAGTATGTAAAATTGTGCATTGAAAAAAATGTAAGGCGACATTTCAGTACTTGGTCTTACAAGACCCCAACATTAAACACGTCCATATGGTCCATTTAGTCTTTTGACCACAAAATGTGGATGATATTCTATAGCTCAATAGGGTAAACACGGTATATTCCAACACATTAGGGACATAGCAAGAAATGAATGGCTATAAAAATATCACCGTGTGCGTAACTCAAGTTCTGATTGCTTTACGTCACTCTCAAAACACCACACTACATGCCAGCAACAATGAAACATCACAAACTGTTGTCATATTTATTTAAAAGCCTTTAGAATTCAAACCTACAAAATCCCTGAATTCTGATGAGGTGTGTGACTAAATTTGGCATATTGTGAGACTAATTCCGGCAGTGCTTCAAATTCTATTTATTTGTAATTCCGGCGCACTGTGTTGGAATACCAACACCCTGTGTGAGCTGTATCAGAATACGACATAGCTCTGAATGAGCTTAATTAAAAAATTTTAATTTTTTAATTAAGCTTTTAATTAAGAGCTATTAAGCTTTTAATTAGGAAAATTTTAATTTTTGGACACAGCTTGGACTTGGAACAAGCTGTGTGTGTCTAATTCCAAGCTGTGTCGGAATTAAATTTTATGTGTCTAAAACCGTCGCTTTATCTATTAATTTATTTACCACTTGAAATCAGCAAATACAAGTACGTATACTTAAAGGATTCCTAATATATTTACAGACTTATTTAAAAACCTCGAACCATAATATTCTTTCTATACAAACAGTTTAACATAATATTCTTTCTATACAAACAGTTTATCACTATTTGGTAGAGCAAGGTCAACTATCAACTTTGACATGTTTTTCGATATTCTCACTGGGTGACGTGCACTGTCTCTCTTTGGATCTTGACATTTTCCTGCCAGATGGCCCAGACCTAGTGTTTTGGCAATAGTATGGCATGCAATAGTATGGCATCACTATTTCACCCATCAAAGCTTAATATAAAGGAAAAAAGTTGAGAAGTGTCAGAATGACCCACGATGTCGGAATATAGCGCGTTTACCCTAATAGCTGGCACAGTTAATTATCATTGTACATTAATTTTGCTGGCAACAATAAGAAGTTTGAGAAATTTGCAAGAAACTCCAGTATTTTAGCAAAAATGTCTTTGTTAACATTAAAATTTTCAAATAAATTTTGTGTTTTTCCAACATTCTTGATGTTGGGAGAACATCAAGGATGTTGGGCCAAAGATGCCAGAGCCATGGTTGTGAGGTCAATGTCCAGGCAGCAAGGCCAGGGTCCAGGTTTAGAGGCCAGGGTCCAGGCTGAGATGCCTGAGTCTAGGTTGGGAGGCCAGGGTCCAGGCTGACAGGCCGGGGTGACGGGGTTCATTTTGAGAGGCTATGGCGGAGGCTAAGATACCTACCATAGTTGGGCATATTCCAGGTTGAGATGTCAGGATTGAGATTGAGATGTCAGGGTTGAGATTGAGACTTGAGAGTCCAGGGTCCAGGCTGGAGTCCATTTTGAGAAGCTAGGGTAGAGGTTCAGAGACCAAAGTCAAGGTTGAGAAGCAAAGGCTCGGGTTGAGAGACCAGGGCCCAGGGTTGAGATTGAGAAGCCAGGGTCCACCGTCCAGGTTGAGAGGCTGCAGTCCAGGGTCCAGCCTCCAGGTTGAGACTTGAAAGGCCAGGGTCCAGACTGAATGAGGCCAACCAGCCTGAACTAGGGACCATGGTCAAGATTAATAGGCCAGGGTCAAGATTAAGAGGCCACAGTCAAGATTAAGAGGCCAGCATCCAGGTTGAAAGGCTAGGAACCAGGTTGAGACTGAGAGACCAGGGTCCAGTTTGAGAGGCCAGGAGCAGGGTAGAGATTGAAAGGCCTGGTTGGTCCAAGGGCACTCCAGGCTGAGGCCTGAGAGGCGGCAGAGGCCATGGTCCAGGATTAGAGGCCAGGGGGCAGGGTCCATGTTGAGAGGCCAGGATCTCACCTTCCGTTCTGTTAATTTCAATCATGATTGATTAATTTTCTTCTTCAAATTTGCTTTCAGAACTGGTTTCAGATGCATTGGTGAAATCAATGTTGTATGCAATATATATCCTTTTCATCCACAGAGTCTTCTTTAGAATTTAGATTCATATTCACTAGAGAATAAAGTAGCAAGATGCTGTTCACATAGTCTGGGGTTGTTTTGATTTGTTTTCTTGGGAAGAAAAAGTTGTTTTGCTAAAGCCCTTGAAGGATTCTGAGAAGCAAAAAATATTACAAGTGCACTTTGATAATTTGATCATTTGGCCAGTGTATACTGTATGGAGACATAGCTAAAATAGGTAAACTGAATAAGTGTTTGTTACTAGTACTAGTAGTAAAAAATACTATTATAGAAAGGCAGCCAACAGCATTTTAATGTGATTCACCGTATTTACTTAAAAAACACTCATAGGTTTTGATGAACTCTCCAAAGATTCCATGCCTAACCAAAATTGAAGTGCTACAAAATAAAAAAAAATTGTGCATCCCTCATCATTGCCCAAAAAAATACAAAATACTTGAGAAAAATTTATCAGCCGAACAAACAGGAGCCTGCCGTAGCCTAAAAATTTGACTCTTAAATCAGCCCAAGAGCCAATGCCAACCTTAGTTCTACTGTTCTACATGCAATAGGAATAGTCAGCCTAAATCCTATGCAGCTGTTCTTAGTCACTTCTTACTTGCCTCATCTCGCCACAACAGCTTGAAACAAGCAATGCCTCTGGCCTCAGCACACTGAGCACACAACTCACAAGCTGTGAAGCTGATAGCTACTCCAAACAGATTACACCCAATAGCTCCTACATGAGCTACATCAATGATTTAAGCCCATACCATCACTTCTTACAAATGCCATAAGCCACAGGGTCCGCAGACCGCACCAGACTGCTGTAAATGAGAATGGCCCCGCACCGGACTGTCGCATCAGTGACATCACCTTACCCACTTTGCAGGCGTAAGCCCAGCCCTGACGCTCACCAGCATCTTCTTCCTCCACACTTACCCCCTTCTCTCCACCTTTCCGCGAAAGGGTTAGGTTAGGTTAGGTATTAGGTTTGATTAGAATTCTTGCGCAAGCTGGTAGCCTGGTACCGAAAGGAGGGGGAGCAGGGGGTAAGCGTGGAGGTTTAGCCTCCAGTCCTACTTATATGACTCAAAAATGAACTTGAGGATCCAGAAGAACGGACAGGCTGGGGAGGTAGCAGTGTACTGGCACTGTGGCACAGGGCGTTCTTTATCAAAAGTGGGGAAGGGGCTAGGCTGCATGGAATAGAAATATTTTGGGGTTTAGCGTGTGGGTTACGACCATTGTTTTGGCGGCTTAATGTTGTGTTTTTTTACTATCATATACATGGAAAAGGTTTATTATTCGAATACGGCTAACATGTCGGCACAGTTTGCATGGAATTAATTCACGGGAGGACCGAATACAATCATGATTACATTCTACATTGGAAACTTGATCGTTCGGGAAGCCACAATTAAGGCTACATGGCCAATTGTGAGAAGCGCACGAGGTATGTTCATAAAAGGTGTATTCGATATTCCTGACATAGGATGTTGTGTTTTTTTACTATCATATACATGGAAAAGGACTAAAGGCGATAGCATAATCACAGCGTTCATCTTAACTATTGATAGTACGAGCTAAAAATTAATGTGAATGTGGTATCTCTCTCACTTCGCGTTCAAGTTTACTGTATGGCAAACATTTATATTATGAGTAAAACTTTGCTCAGATTGTAATAAATCTCCAATGACCTCCGTTGTAGTATCTCTCTCTGCTTTACCATCGGTTACCTCGTTACGTCTGAGAGATACATCGGGGAAACTGGAATGAAACTGGGACACTGTGCACTTAAAAATATTATATTATATAACCGTTACCGCAGTCCTATCCTTGATATATGCTTCTATAATCGATAATAGAAATAAATAAATAGTAACTTGTTGACAACAGCATTATTCCTTCCCGAGTTTTGATGCTAACTCGCTTTACCCTCGATTTAACATCATCAATATGTATGTAAACCACAACATTACTCTTGCTATATATATCTAATTATGAACACATCATCATTTCAGGTCGGGCATTAAAACAAAAAGTAATTCATATTGCTCAATATTTACTAGGTTTAAGCACTGAAATATCACAGTAGTCTCCGTCGCGCCCAAGCTGCCGATCTTTTCATGTGAAGCAAGAGCAGAGTCATGGCAAGATTTGACCCTCAGGTACGTGAGTCCTCACTCGCTACCCTCACAACGCAAACTTGGGTCAACGTGTCCTCGCTCGCTACCTTCAAGACGCAACCTTGGGTCAACCGTGTCCTCACTCGCTACCCTCAAGACGCACCCTTGGGTCAACGAGTCCTCACTCCTACCTTCAAGACGCTACCCTCATAACGCACCCTTGGGTCAACGAGTCCTCACTCGCTACTCTCAAGACGCACCCTTGTGTCAACGAGTCCTCACTCGCTACCCTCAAGACGAACCCTTGGGTCAACGTGTCCTCACTCGCTACCCTCAAGACGCGCCCTTGGGTCAACGAGTCCTCACTCGCTACCCTCAAGACGCACCCTTGTGTCAACGAGTCCTCACTCGCTAGTCTGGTAGGAACGGTCAACGCGTGCGGTCGTGTGCTCTGTAGTCTCTCGCGCGCAAGCCAAGACTATCTCTTAAGTTTTAATTGTCGCTTCGCATGATGAACTCGAGGCGTCGACCACGATTGTTATATGTGAGTATTTTTATCGCCAACTCGACTTTTTCCATATTTTCCGTTCGATGCGGATGTTAAAAGTTGATGGGCCAAAAGTGACATCAATTACATAAGTATCCACTATTGCAATATAACTGATGGAGAATGTGAAAAGAGCCATCGCCGCCCCCACACAACGACGCTAGAGTTGATGGGGCTGTAACAATCGGAAAGTAGTAATTAATAAAAAGCTCATGACGTTTAGTTTTGGGGAAGAGTTTTCAATAAATCTTGGTTTATGTTAAACATTGCTTTAGATTGTGTTTTGCTTACAAATTCATAAAACAGGGGCCGCCATTTGCAGGCCGTGAGCGCGTCTGTTGAAGGGTCGGGCAGGTGCTCCTAAAATGTCCAGATTTGGAGGGTGGAGCTAGCGAAGGATATGAAATTGCATAGCGTCCACAATACCCTGATTAAACTACACGCGCATAGCATCACGCGTTGTATCACATTGCGTCTCAAATAACGGCATTTCGCAATAACTATTCATTGCACAGTCAATCAAATGCACTACCAGCCACCGAGCAATGGAGTTTCAGCATTGTTGATTTCATGATGTTTCGCATCTATTTCACTTCGTTTCATCCAGTTGTAGGTACAAATGTGTCAGCCATGATAGTGTGCGCGCTCATGCAAGCATAACACAGACCAGTCGCACGTGTAATGATCGAGCGGTGCAGGATATGTAATGATCGAGCGGTGCAGGATATGTAATGATCGAGCGGTGCAGGATATGTAGGTCAATCTCCTGTCCGTGATCGCCGACAGATCTTTACATGTTAATCAGAATAAGTTTGTATTTATAAGCACATAATGTAGTTCTGACTACTGATGCATATCAACATGAACGGAAGTGTTTACAATGTAACCCACAGTTCCGGGGGTTGGAAGCTTTACTGCTCAAGCGCATAATTTAACATCCGTAATGAATAACTTCGACTTGAACAACGATGGCTCCCCATAAGTTAACCATCGATTATTCGAACGAACCAGATATTATGTCTTCAATGAGGCGTTTTGTTTTTTAACCCTAGTTACTTTCATCCTAACCCTCGCATCTCTCGCAAGCAGTACTCGTCCAGTTGCACGCAATTAATTATTAATTACATCAATTTTCTTACAATTTCATCTTGCGGCCCTCGTCATTGCCTCGTTAATCTTATAAGCAACATTCGTCCCCTAGTGAGTAGCCATCCTCCTCTTACTGAGGCTCTGTTCATTCCGAGCAAGCCGTTCATTGTTAACGCTCTTTCGGGCAGATTACAAAGTATTAAAGGAGATACAAGAGAGGTTATTCCCTTTACTCTTAACATGTAAACTGAAACGACAGAGAAAAACTTATCACAAAAAATACAATATTCTACATCTCGTAATGCCAAATTTTACTTGCAAACAATTTAGAGGTCATAAGAACAGAATAGAAGATATTCCGGCCATGAAAATTACGACTCACATGGTTCCGAATGTGAACAATGGCGTATGACATACTAACTTGAGGTGCAGGGCTGGGATAATGACAACGGACAAATTTGAAATCGTAAGACATCGCAATTGCGCGTTCTATTTCTTTCTATGGCGGTGACAGGAACTCAGGTGTATGGAAGCCGCCACAGGCCGTTTACCGCCGATGGCGACAGTCGTATTCATTAATGTTAACAAACCTTCTGTCCTCTTGAAAAAATTCCTCTAATTAGTGATCCATGTGATGGTAAAGCTTGCAGTTCTTGCCCACCGCAACAGTGACGCTGTAAGCGGCGTTAGACGTTATTGTCATGCGTGCCTGTGTGGGCCACCTTACAATCGATGCGCGTAACGCCGACTTGACATTTCGTCATCGATCGAAACATCGAGCGCAGTTATTGCGACTTATAGCCTTATCGCCGTGATTGGTACTTACGCCGCAGTAGTGGCATACACCATCACCGTAGTGGCATACACCATCACTGTAGTGGCATAACACCATCACCGTAGTGGCATAACACCATCACCGTAGTGGCATACACCATCACCGTNCATACACCCTCGCCGCAGTGGCATACACCTTCGCCGCAGTGGTATACACCTTCGCCGCAGTGGCATACACCTATGTGGCGCTGGCATACACCCTCGCCGCAGTGGCATACACCCTCGCCGCAGTGGCATACACCTCTGTGGCGTTGGCATACACCCTCGCCGCAGTGGCATACACCTTCGCCGCAGTGGTATACACCTTCGCCGCAGTGGCATACACCCTCGAAATCTTACATCAATTTTTGGCAGGTAAATGGAAAAAATTTAATTAATTGAAATGATTCAACTTAATTGAGCCGTGCGGGCCTGGATCTTGAAATCCAAGCACAATGTATAAAATCTTGCCGTTAAAGTTGCGCATATCTGCCAAACTTTTGTTTAAAGAAGGAGCCGACGTCGCTTGAGGTGAACGACGTCGGGTTCTGTTCGACTTAGCTGCGTTCGACGTAGCATGTAAAACGCAAGCACATCAGCGAGTTAGATCAAATAATATTATTTCATCAGTTTCAAATTATGTAATCAATTCAGATATGTATCAATTGGTAATCAATTCCTCAGCAATCGTTTAATCAATCAAGATATCTATAACATAAATTCATCAATATATCGAAAATTAAGCAAATGAGCCATTCGTCTTCATTTTAAAATCAGGCCGTGAAGCGGCTTTAAACTCCTTGACCCAAAACACCGTCCCAGACAATAAATTGCGCATTTCCCTGCAAATTCCCGCAATTTATTTCACTTAAAATTATCTGCGAATCTAAAAATCTAAAAAGACATGATTGGATAATGTAGCAGTAACATTTCAGAAACTTTGGCCCGTATGCTAAATAGGGCACTAGCACTACAAAGTAGCACTATGCACTACGAAGTGTCCTGTTGGTATGCTAAATACGTCACAGACACTAAGCACTTCGAAGTAGCTCTACAATGTTTAGTGTCGCTTAGTGTCACACTACTGATTCGTATACAGAAAGACTTTGAAGTGCTACTTCGCTGTTAGAGTACTTTATAGTGCCGCACTACGATATGAG